ACGTCCCTCTCACATGCCGCTTCCAGGTAGCCCTAACACAAGACAGTTGAGTGTAATAAACTGTGACTGTATTGCACAACCAGCCAAGCATAATTGCTCTGCAGTGTAAACAAAGGCTAAAGTCAACTCAATAGATTAAAGTTTAAATAAAGATTTGAAATAATAAAGCGATGTAATCGTAGATGAGAACAGACACCCCTACAGCTCCCAGAGGCATGCAATCACGACCAGGTTCGCTGCTCACTGAGATGCAACCCAGAGTCAAGTGTAACCTCGGTTCCTGAATGGTGCCTCAAATCCCCATGGTCACAGAATGAGGACAGAGCCAAATGAACTCCGAATTTCATTTTTGTTGAAGTCAAGAAGCAGACAGTATTTTCCCTAATCCAACAAGTGCCACAAAATTCAGTTAAGTGATTTTATGGGTCTCCTAGCACGTTACCACCGTTCTCCTTGGAGTTGCAAAGTTTAATGCCAACATAAACAAAAAAAGGAAGCACGCTACACTGTGCCATACAATCCTGCTAGACAGTTTATGTTCCAAAGATCATCTTAATATTTTCATTGAGCAGCAATCTTACTAACGCTTCTTTCGCTAGAAGCATGAGAATATTTTTAAGGCTTTGAATTTATTGAAAAAAGTTTCTTTCAAAAGGGGCAGCATTGAACCTCATACATGACCTGAGGATGGAGTGTAAAACAGACCCATCTGCAGTCAGATGCTACTAATACAGTCACAGGTTTTCTTTCGTGTTCATCCACAGAAAGGCTCTAACTTCTCTCCAGAGTACAAGCTGTCTCAGGTGTTAAACGTTTCCAAGGTCAGCTTTTCAAAGAAAGTGAAAGAAAACTTCTCCCCTTCATGCAAGACAAGGAACTTGACATTATGCTATGTGCTCTGGTCTCCTTTTTAATTCCGCAGCATGGCTGTAAGGGCAGACTGGCATTTTCTGTCCTTAAAGCTGGAAGGTACATGCCCCAGCCTGGCCAGCTGGGCTTGCACAGCCGTGACCCTCTCCAGCGATAACGCTTAGTTCAGCGCCTGAGACAACTCCTTGCCAAATCCCCTGCCCACAGAGACAGCAGCCTCCTGGAGTTCATCAAGGCACATCCATTTCAACTTCCACACGAAAACAAACGCACAAATGAAAAGAGAAGGGCTTTGTGCGTTCAGGCCAAGGGTGCCAAAAAGAAATGGGGTCCACCATAAACCTCTGCCTGAGCAGGAAGGAACAGCATACGCTCTCACAGCTTGCTGGGAAAATACCAGCTCCAGAAGTCTTTCCGTTATATTTTGCCCTGCAGCATCAAGATAGCCAGGTCCATGTGATAACCGGCCCACGCAGGAGATCAGTGCTGTGACGCCGACAGAGGGAGGTCAGGACGTCCCTCCCGCCTGTCCCTGCCCCACCACTGCCTTCCCAGCAGCCCTGGGCCGGGACAGGCTGGTTATGCTCCCGCACCACCACCTCTCAGGTAGTGCTGACACCCCACGGTCCTTCGTCTACAGGGGAAGACGAGCCCGATTTCCAGCTTCTGTCAGCACTGGCACTATGCCTTACAGATTGGTTGCTTAAATTTTTCTCAAGCTCAGATCTGTTGCTCCTGCTTCTATTTCCCATAATACATACGAGGAAAGGTTTTAGCCAGGCTCACTGCACTGATTTGTTCTACTATGTCCTGTTCAGCACAGAACAGCTAAGTCTCTCTGAGCAAAACGGAGGCTGGACAGCTTCGTCTGCTAAAACAGAGAAGAAAAATCAGCTTTCAGTCAACCGCATCCTTGTCCTACTTCTGTCATACCGTTCCCTTCCTCCGGTGGTGTTTGACATCTCCTGTTTCAATCAGCTCACGCATCATCCCGAGATTCAGCTCGGAAAGCCGCCACCACCGTCACTTTGCTCAGCGCCCTTCAGCTTGCCTTTCAGCTGAGCATCCCGTTCCCGTTAGCTACACACGGAGCACACACCGGGCGCAGGGTCTCTCCACTCAGCTCTACCTATTTTTTTATATGACTTAAAAGATACTATTATAAACCAGTGCTCTCCGCTTAACAAGGGGAGGAAGACAAATCTGAGGCTACACCAGCACCCGCCCTTCAGGGAGATTCCTGCGTTACTGCGATGGCAGGCAAGCAGCATTAAACAGGACGTGAGCACTGTAAGGAAGGTTTGGACTACGCAATCTCCCTTACTTGACATATTCTAAAAAAAAAAAAAAAAAATACATAGCTACTTACTGGTCAGACCACTAGACTGGGATTCGGGAAGCATGGCCTCCATTCCCAGCTCAGTCACTGGCCTCCTGAGGACCTCAGCACTTCTTTGGGCCTCCCCAATAAATTTCCTCATTGTGAACTGCTGCAGGAGCAATGAAAAGAGCCACGCTAGAGCGAGCAGAGGTCTATGAAAGGCACATAATACAAATAACTCCAAGTTTAAATTTCTTCCCCAAATCACTTGCACCTTGCCCATGAGCCTATGGCTTTATATTCACACTGGGCAATAAGGGCACTCCAGCTGCGCTCGCTGCTAATTAGACGTGCGCAGCGTGTTCCTGGGCCTGCTCCCTCCGTCCGCCAGATGCTTCGCCTGCCTCCAGCTGGCTGCCAAACCGAGGAACCCGCAACGAGCTGCCTCGGTCATTGAACGGCAATGGCAACCGGATCACTGGCCTCTTCAAGTTGCAGTGCACTTAGGAGTCTAAATCAGGGAAAGGTCTAAATTAGTTGCAAATTTCCATAAAACTCCGCACTGATGGCTGGTCGTGCTCCGATTTCCAGGAATCGGCGTTTCCAAGTCTCCTTCGGGCTCTCTCAGAAATCCCGCGCAGCTGTTGGAGCAACACACGAGTAAGCTCTGCCAGAGCCCAAACCGCATCTTCCCCGTACCGGACGCTTTGGAAGGCGTTAAGGGAAAAGGGACGTTCCTGGCAATCCCCTGAACGCTTTACAAGGGAGAGAAAGTTTTGCTTTTTTTGTCCACTTCATTCGATTAACGTGGCTGCCACTTTCGCTTCAGAAAGGAGCCCATTTGCCACGACACCCGCTGTACTGCACTCAGTCCACTAAACCGCACCGGTTGAACCGTAGCCTACTGCACTTGACTACACAGAGACAAAGGAGAAGCTGAAGATACCATATATCTTAAGGGTGTCAAAAGCCTCATCAAAATAATGACATTCATAAGCAAGCTGGGGAAACATAGTCCAGATGAGTCTACTGTAGAGTAGGCACAAAACAGTTTGGAAAAAAGTACTAAGGAAGTAAAACTGGTTCTCCCTCAAAACGGAGCGAGACATCAAGGAGTTGGCAGAGGCGTGCACTGGAATCAAGCTGATGCTATGCCACCATCAGTACCACCTCAAGACACTGGGCACTTGCGCCTAGATATTTTACAAAGACCTGCAGTTACTGCAAGTTACAGAGCATCTTTCCAACATCACAAATAAAACGAGCAACGCCCCTAGCGTCCTCGGGAGCACCATGGTGCTGAGCAATCAGCGGCTGGGAGACGCACACACAACAAACCTGCACGGACTCACGTCTCTGGAAGATGGGCACTTTCCTGAACCCGTAGTCACAAATCCCTTCCCCGGGACTGTTATCCCTGACAGATGATTTGGCAAGGCCAGGCAAGCACCAAACAAATGAAAAGCAACAGTCAGTTGCAAAAAGAACAAATAGCGTTTGAGTAGCAATTCGTTTCCAGTGGACGTTTACATAAGACAACAGTAAACCCTTGCTCACTAGAGAGACCAAGTCAACAGATTAAATAGCAGTTAGTAACGTAGCAGCAGAAATTGCTGCTTTTGCTGCTGAAATGGAAAAAAATCACGAGGGGCTAGACCGTAAAGAGCCAGGGGCTAGCAAGGTTAAGTGCATCGGACAGGCAAAACCTCTAGGAAAGGAGCTGCACAACAGTTACAGTCTCCGGCTACTAGACCGAACAACACTGGATTCACCTCGAGCAAAGGACGCACTCCCAGCTGAGAAACTATGCCTCTTCTTGACAGCTGCACCCCTGAAGGAGACAAGCGCTACGGCCAGGGCGAGGAACTTCGGGAAGCACGCGGTACGAACGCCAGGACGCCGCGCGCGCCGAGGGAGACGCCGAGGGAAAACCGGGCCGCTCGCGTTATGCTGCGGACCAACGAGATCAACGGTACAAACTGAAGAGCCTCCCCACAAAATACAATCCACTCCAGGCTTAAAGCCTGCCTCGAGCGTGGGGGGTTGCTTGGAAGGGGGCGGGGGGCAGCCAAGCTTGAGAGCGCGGCCACACTGCAAACAGGCTGCTTTGGAAAACGTGCACGTGTTCAAGGATTTTACAGGGCTGATCATCAGTTTGAGTTTCACACAACAACTCCAGCATCCAGTTCATACTTCCTCTTTGAGCGGCTTTTTAAAACTATATTTCTACTACGAATTAGCCCATATTCAACACTGCATGAGCACGTGCATATAGAACATACATATTCTATTTTTAAAAAGACTTTAATAAAACAGATTTCCAGAAGCTGCAAATCTGAGCCAGTAAACAGATCTATGCGCGATCTGAAGCGTTCTAACATCTAAAGACTGGACTATGTACATAAATTTGGGTTTATAAAATGGGCTTTTTTGCACTATCAAAGCAGTGGCTGAATTCAAGTCCCTTAAAAAACACACACACACACACGGGCCTTCCCAGTCCCTAATTCATATGTTTATCGCACTGCAGAAGCACGTAAGCCTGATTCAGGCAGAACAACTAAATAATGCTGTGGGAAAATCTGTCTCTGAAAAGCAGGTTTCCAGTTCTTACTCCTTGTGCACACTGCATGGTGGTAACCCAGAGAAGGCCACTGTTGTTGCTGTTTATTTTAATCGGCTTTTTTTTAAACTTTGCGGCTAACCCTACCACCACCACACCCCGTCCCCCCACCCCCAAAATTTAGCTTTTTAACCAGTTTCTGGCCCATCGTTTTGCATTATTTTGCTCCTGGAAACGCCTGCTTACTTGAACTGGTGCTCTCTGGAGCTGCGTATCTTGGACGAGAAGCGTTCAGCTAATTTCTCCAGGCTCCTGGAGTACTCCAGCTCTATCTCAGCTTTCCTTCGGAAGAACTCCTGGAGGTCCTGCAGGAGTTGCAGGCGCGACTCCGACTGCTGTTCCAGACATTTGAACTGTTCCACCAGCTGAGTACGGATTTCTGCATGCACACAAAAGAGGAAAAGAAAATATAACGTAAGTAACAAACTCCACGAGAATTGGCTTTCTTTGTCTTACAGCAAATCTCACAGGTTCTTACTAGAGCACAGCTCCTCAAATTTAATTCAAAGTTTATTAAAGTCAGTGGAAATTTTTTCCAAGTGAGAGCTGAAGAATTTCATTCACTGGTCTCACATTAAGTACTTGTTCTTTGTCAAAATAAATAGTTGCGTAAGTACACGGAAACTAACCCTTCGAGCTTCCCAACAGCTTTTTTGCAACTGAAAAACGCTACTTCAGTTTGTCTAGTATTACCTGGAATTCTATATTCTTTGCACATAAACTAACATGCTGTCCGTGGGTAAATGATCATTTTAAGACCTACTGAAAAAGCTGACAGTGGACTGAAGAACACTGGCATTATAAATGCATATTCTTCTTCATTCGCTTCCCAAAATACTATTGGGTTAATAGGCAAATCAAACCCGCCTTTTACTGAAAGGTTTAAAAAGTCTTTCAGACACCCTAAACCTGAGCTCATAAAATCCCATAAAATTTGTTTCGTGTTATTTCACTTTCTGATAACGATCTTCAAACGTTGTGACAGATACAACTGTATCACCCCAACCACCTTTAAGGAAGCGCGATTCTGGGACAAAAGGAGGAGGCGTTTGCATGGGGAAGCGGGAGAGAGAAAAGGAGCCGGGGGCATTTGCAGCAGGGCACCGCCTTGCCGCGGGGTCTCAGCAGCCGCTCGATCCTAGAATAAATGAGCCTCCCACAAGAATTAGAGAAATCTGGTCTCCGGTCCTGATATTTACGTAGCGCTGCCAGTAACTGACAACCTCGGGCGTATTCAGGTCTCCTCAGCAGGTGAACGTTATTGGAAGACCGCTTTAATGTTTCTCCTCTTTATGTGTCAGAGTCGTATTTTCTGTCTTTACCAGCCTCACTTGGACAACGCTTTCATCTCACACGCTAAAAGACCAACGGCGTTTTTTCCAGCTCCCGCTTCTTACAAAACGTAGCCCCGTTCAAGAGATCTGCAGCCGCTGCTCGTTCCTGGAAGCCAAACGAGCAGGACGGGCGCAGGGAGCGCCGAGCGGCCGCGGGGGGTGAGC